AGACCGACAGCACCCCATCTTCAATCATCTGGTGGGGAGCCTCTAGAGCGCTAGGAGACATTGCCACGCCAAACAGGGGAGGAGCAACCCACTCCACCTCTTCGCCTAGAGGTAGCTCCTCCAGAAACGGCTCAACTCGACGGTCGACGGGGGAATGGGCAAAACGTCTAGCATGTCCGGCGATAGTACGATAGGGTCTGAATATGAGTTTCCCACCCCATGGCCCCCATGAGCCAGTTACCGTTGCCTCAGCATTTCACGCCGAGACTTCTCCGCCAAACGACGGGATGAGCGCCGACCACTGTCTCTGGTACTCATAGGGAAAGGGAAGGATAATCAAAGAGGAAAGAAGGAAGGAAAGAAAGTGCAGTTAGAAGATAATACAAAGGCCCCATTTATAGTTTGAGTGGACCAGTTTTCAAGGAAAATCAAGGGAGCAGAAATTGGGGGCCTTGCTATTTTAAGGCAGGCACGCGGAACGACATTGAGGAGGCAAATCAAGGAAAGAATCTTCGTCAGTAAAAGTCACCATCAATCCAATCTTTGTAAGGAATATTATCGCCTTGGGTGAAGACAAAACTCATATAGATTGGGAAAGGTACCGTGAGTGAGTAAAGTTGTCAAAATAAGGAAACAAGCCAGTACCACGTGGAAAACCCTCAAGGAGTCGGCGTTTATGGTCGGCCGCACCTTAAAGGAGGGAGTCGGCACACAATATACTGTACCCGTGCGAAATACAAAGGCGCATCCGCCTGAGGAAAAGAACATTGGAAAAAGTGACGACAAAAAGATAACAGCAAAGCAGAAAAGATGATCAAATTTTATTCAAAATAAAAAAGGGCTTTATAAACATGACAACACTCGGAAAAACTTTATTTAAAAAGCCCTAAACGCTTTTCCTAAGTCAGACTTGCACCGATAATTCACACTCTCACTTCTCCGGGGAAGACAGATCGTCCACAAACAACAGATCATTTGGAGACTCCGAGCCCGTAGGAGAAGGGCAGACTGACTCCCAAAAGGCCGGCATCATCGGCGATGCCACCCCCGGCTCAACTCCGGTGTAGGTCTCCAGGAAGCGAGCGTCATCCGCATCAGACATGCGCTAGGTCACAGTTTCGGTCGGGTCATACAAGGGAATGGTAAAGGTCATCTCGAACGACATCTGCTCGGGCACCGCCACATCCATCGATGTTCCTTCCTCCGCGGTGACCTTCGGAGTAGTCCGACGGGGCGAGCTTTTACTGGGAGGAGGTGCATCCTCAACCATGTAGGAACCTGAGGAAGGGCATGTGGAACGTTTCCGAGAAGCCTTTCGAACCTTTTTCCACTTCTTCTTACTGAGTTTTGCCCGCTTGGCGTGAGGAGTCGGAGAGCTCGCCGAGGAGTCGAAATCGATCTTCTTGGCTTCTAGACTCGAACAACCCATGATTATTGAGAGAGAGTATGAAGTGATGGGAGAAGGCAGAGCATTGGTCTAATTTATAAGTAGAGAAAGGGCGAGAAATTGAATGCATGCAATCAAAAGGAGATTGCTATAAATTGAAACGGCCTGAAAAGAGGGGATTCGGGCCATTTAATCCGGGTGAAGGAGAAGGAAACTGTAGGATTGTGCGCAGGGGGGAGATTCCAGGAGCCGGGTACTTTCCAACACTAGCGCAAGTGGGCTTAGTGCTAGAAAGTGAGAGACTAGTTGATGGGGTGCGGACCCAACGGGTTGGAGGCCTAAGAGAGAGGAAAGAATGGACCAAGGAACGGGCTTGCTGCAATAGGCCCAAAAGAGATTTACGTTGTGACATTTTAAAGTAGACCCTGAGGAAAGCACGGCCGAGTGAGGAGCCGAGTCTAGGGAATCGGCTCCAGCGGGAGTCGGCCCAGCTACTGATCGTTGCTGCTTAAAGAGCCTACCATTAATGCGGGTCAATCCAGCCGTTGGGGGAGGCTATGTAACGACGACCCAACGACTCTCAAGCCCTTTATTTCCCATTATTACACATTTAAAGTTGTATTTAATCAATAGAAGATAGTCAGCTATAAAAAGGGGGCCTCTAAGGGTAGCGTAGCTCCAGAATACAAAGAGATATCCAGAAACTGTATCCTAGAACAACCTATTTCATTGCTTTTCAAGAGATTTCTTATAAGCCTATTGTACGGTGAATCCACGAACCAACGGTTGTGTTGGACCTCATTGGGCCCCAAAAACCCTAAAACCAACAACACTTATTATCGAATTAATATTTTCTGTTACGAAATCAAGTAATTAACACTAAACGTGCTAAGCATAATTAGCACTCTCCGTAAGTGCTACAAAAGCACTTCTCGCAAGTGCTTAAAAATTACCACCTTACTTAAACTTAAGATTATGACTTCTTTTAAATAGGTTTATTTTGAAAATCAATTTCTCATTCACCTATTACCCATTTTGAGCGTACAATATGTCGATTTCTTCGTCTCACTATGAAGAGTCTATGAAGAGTGTGAATCCACTTTTACCCGATCCAAACCGGAAGTAGACCTTAAATATATCTGTACCATAAAATAGCCATTTTTAATACCATTTTATGCTAAAAAAAAAAAATCAATAGTCAATGGACCATTTATGGTCATATTGAAAGTCGATGACGAACATTGGTAAATATCAATAGTTAATAGATCATTTATGGTCCAATTGAAAATCAAATGATAAAAATTGGTAAATGTCAATAATTAAATAACCATTCTTAAGATTAACTCTATAGGTTATTTAGTAATTCTTTTCGAAATGTTATTGCTGTTTTTTGAATTACTTAAATGTCAATAATTAAGTAATTCTCTTCACATCATTCCATTTCATTGTACTTTTTTTGAACTACAAGTAATACATTTATTAAAATCAAAGATAACTGGTCATAGGGGTGAAGTTTGGGAAGAATGAACAGGGTCGAGTCTCACCAGCGATAGTGAGGGGGCTCCTTGTGCGCCGTAAACAAAGGGCAAATGTCTAGACTCTATGGGTTGGGGATTCAACCTTTTGGGAAGAATTAAAATCAAAGACAAAAAATAGACAATTATTAGAAAGTTGATAAACCTGAAATAAAAACCTTTAATCACAGAGTTACTCGATCTCTTGTGAAATCGTCTCACAGACGGGTTGAATTAAGGGTGCATTTAGAAATCTGAAAATTGATTTTTAGAAATCATTTTCTGGATTTTCAGTGTTTGGCTAGAGGGAGAAAATAGAAGTCAATAGAAAATAGGGTGTGGTTAATGGAAAATAGAGGGAATTTTTTCGGAAAATGACTTTCCATTTTTTTTTTTGGAGAATGTTATTTTCCGTGTTTGCAGCAGTGGAGCAGCCAATCAACCACCACCACCACCCACCACGTATCCCCACCACCACGTACTACCACTACCACCACCATCATTGTATATTTTAAACATTTAAAATTAAAAATAATTATTGTCATTTTCTAAAAAATAAACTAAACACACCAAGATAGTTTTCTGAAATGCAACCAAACACTGAAAAGGAAAATGTTGTTTGGAAAATGGCTCATTTTCTATAAAACATTTTCAGAAGTCATTTTTTTTACTTTCCGAACTAAGATGAAAATGTAACATGATGTTATCACATTTGTGCATGTTTTTATAGCTATTTTGATTCATTCCAGTAACAAAGTTATTTAATTGTGCCTATTTAATACTTGTTTTCCTTGCTTTCTCGTTAGATTATGGTTTTACACTTGTTTTGAACGTCTTACAGTGTTTGGTAGTGTTTTTTCACCATTACAGGTTAAGTGTAAAAGCAAGGGGGGATTTTCAAGCACGAATGGATCAAAAAGAGGAAGAAGTCGAAGCATCAGAGCCTTGACGCATCGGGCCAGCTTCTCGACGCGTCGAGAATTTCAGTAGCTACAAGAGCCGCCCAAATTAGAGACTCGACGCGTCGAGAATGCGGAATGCTGAAATTTTGGAACCTTCCTAAATTAATCCCATTGGGTTGCCATTATAAAAGGATCATCTTCCATCAACCCTATGGTTCTTTTTTTTTTTTTTTTCAAGATTTTGGCATTGGAAGGCAACTAAGAGCAAGAACCAAGAGGACCAATTTGAAGATTTACAATTAGCTTTGGAGTAGAGAATTGGCTAGGAAGATTCGGGAGAATTCTTTCACTCTTTCTCTTATTCCTTTTGTTATTTGTTTATCTTTAACGATTGTATTGATTGTTATTATGGCCATGAGTGGCTAAAACCCTTAGGGATTTTTGGGTGAATTTGTTTATGAACCTATGTGCCTAGTTCGTTAATTTCTTAATATATTTATGTTTGGTTTTATGATTTGTGTTGCAATCTTGTTTAAATCTGTTGTTGTTGGTAATTAAAGGCCTAAATTACTTGCTTCATAGCCATGTTCATGTCATAACGAGAGTTAGGCATAAACTAGGGGCACACACGATTGCACCTAATGGTTGGACCTTGAGAAAGGGGAATTTTATTATAGATTGTTGCGCATCGAGAGATGGTAGTAATTAGGAATAATTGAATGCTGATCTTCGATCTTATCGGGTGTTTAAGCCACGAGAGTGAAAATTCACTAGGGATAGAGATTACGAGAGTAATTCGATTCCATTTTGCATTCTCACACAAGTCTTAATTCCAAACTAAATATTACAAACGTTAATTGGCACTAGGTGATTAAATATTGCGATCCCAAGAATCCTGCTTTGTTCTATTGCTTACAAAACCTTGCTAGTTTATTTATTCTGCTTTTTATTTTCTACAATTATCCGACCTTCAAGTTTCGTTCAGATTAGTTCCATATGAGTAACCTAGTAGTTAGTGCTTAGTACCCCGTCTCCCTGTGGTTCGATAACCCGAATACTCCGGATATTATTTGTTTGCCCCAAATTACCGCAATCATAACACTTATCCTAAAAAATGTAATACTAATCCAGAATAAAGTGTTTGCTCAAATAACACTTTTAAATACAAAATATATATATATTTCTTGTCTTCAAAGCATTACACTTGCACTTAGAAATTGCAACATTTTATTTCTATTACATTTTCACTCTCATAGAAGTTTTTACCTCAATCACAATGGAGACTTGCGAGCAAGTCGTTGTTAGTATCAAAGGATTCCATTTCATGGGCACTCAAGCACACCCACGCTTCAACTCCACACCCGTCCTTTGCGTCCACCAGCACACCCACATTCTTGAACGCCGAAGTACCAATAATGCCAACACACGCCGGCGCTCCGCCGCCGAAATCCGCTTCGTATATCGGAAAGCCGCACCAACTGGTGAACCTGTACACTTCCGCGCCCTCTCCGCCCGTGATTTCCTCAATCTCTCGGAACGACTCGGCTATGGCGCGACTCGCCTCGTCTCCCCCTTGCCGAACCTTTTCTACGTACTTGTCGCTCAACTCGGATAGCCCCCGCCTTAGAATACCCACCAATTCTCGCAAATCGGGAACTTCGTGGTTTTGGTAGAGCGGGGCGTAGCAGAGGATTAAGTTTCCGATGCAAGAATCGGGCAGGGGAGGATGGAGCCTCTTCCGCAGGTTCACAGCTTGGGTCATCACGGAATGAATCGGGTGGTTATTGTGCGATCTTCTCCGAGCCATTATCGCGCATTTCCATAGGAGTGCCGTCACGGCTTCGACGCGGGAGGGTTTTGGCACTTTTTCGCTTGCGGCTTTGGCCTTTAGAGCCAAGACGCTAGAAGCATTAAAGACGTACTTCTTGGTCATTAGGCTTTGGTCTCGCTTGGGCTCGAGAGCCCGGGATGGCGATGTGACGGTCTGCTGTTGTGGCGGCGGCGGCGGTGGGGGGAAGAGTTTTGTGGAGATGAACTCCGGAGCCGCCGTGACGTGGATGTCGCCGCCACGACAGACGGCTGCCCAGGCGTTGACAAAGGCAGTACGCGAGGAGGCGTCGCAGATGTTGTGGCAAACGCGCACGCCAATCGCCAAACCACCGCAAGGAAACGTTGTCACCTGAGTGAGGAGAGGGCAACCCTTGAACAAATCATTGGTTTCCACCCCAATCGGGAGGACCCGTCTTGCCGATTCAGGCTCAGAGCCTCGGACAAGAAAGCTAGACAGCGGACAACTCGCCCGGGCCACCACAAACGCCGCCCCTTGGTCGCTGCAATCGATCCAGGCATTGTTGCCGTGAAATCTGCCCGCCAAAGGGTAAAACTTGGTGAGAATTTGCGACAAGGATGTTTTGAGTAGTTGGACTGATATTGTTGTTGGCGAATCCGGGTAGTAGAACGCCATGGGCACGTAGTTTGACGGCAAGAGCTGATCTAACATGGAGAAACTGAGGCGTTGGAGGGATGGTGGTGTGGGAGAAGATGGTTTGATGAGTTCTGCTGAAACTATCTCAATCATTTTCATTTTCACTGCTATTTTTTATTTCAAGCTTAATCGCGTTTATCATGCAGATTGAACTATATATATTGCACGCAATAAGAATAATATAACATAAAAAAAAAAGGACCACTTTTATATATATATTACCCACAAGATTCCTCCGAGTTCAAAATGCCCATTTGCACCAGCCATTTTTGTCATAGGGCTTTCTTACGGACGAAAATTAACGGTAATGTGACAAAACAATCATGCATTTTTAAAATTAGAACAATTTTAGGAAAAAGACCTTTGGGACATGCGTTTGAGGTCAGAAATGCATATCCCAGACGTCTTTGAGAATTTTTTTTTAATGGTCTTCTCCCGACTTGCGTGACGTATTTGGCTACCTACACTCATACGCATGTTCGAGATGCGTTTCTTGTAGAATACGTAGAACGCATCTTCGAGATGCGGGCGACTTGATACGCATGTCGGACATGCGTTTATCATGCAACACTAATTTTGAGCTTTTACTGCATGAGAAATGGAAATTAACTAAGTCATGGAAAATGTAAGTGAATGGAAGTAGTTGAAATGTGTTGAACCATAATGTTTTGGCATAAAATTTTATTAGAACGTAACGTTATGGGGATAATTGTGCTCAGGTGTTTATATAAATTAACTTTTGTTAAAGATTTATGCTTTGTTGGAATACAAAATCAACTACCAATATATACATTTAACTTCTGTAAACTACGATGGACATGATATTATAGACCACAACTTTAATGTAATAAGAGAACTTTCCGAAAAGATACATTACTATCATATACATATTGTCATGAACAAAAAATTTAACTGGCGAAGGATAAAAATTTTTAATGTGACATTGACCAATAATCAAGTAGTATAATGGATGGCTCTGTGCATTGTGAGCTGAGAACTGACAGCCATGTGAATTATTTTCAATATTATTTCTATATACTGTGATTTTATTAAAGTTTAATAATAAATTAATTGACGTATTGTAGATGTTTTGCTATAAATATATCCTTGCATTTGAGTTGTTTTATATAAATAGCAACGTAACTCTTGTTTCTTTGCACTCTCTTCTTTCCATATGGGAAGTTTGTTTTCTTTTTTTTCCAACTTTCTCATGGGCATGCAGTATTTCTTGCCACGTACACCATGTTTTTGGGTGTGAAAGATAAGAATGAATTTCAATTAAGGCTATGACTGCGGTCCGGGAAGATTCCTTGTTGGTTCTCTACTCAGGGAATTAAAATTTAAAAGTCTGATGAGCGTACAGACTGCTACTGACAGCCCATGTGGATTGTTTCAGACCATAAGTTGTCCAGTGTATGTGTGATTCTATTAAAATTTATATAAAAATTAATTAATTATTCGTTTTGTACAACTTCCGATATAAATATAACATTGCATGGCATTTGAGTATTTGGATAGATCAGATCGCAACATTTGATTCTTTGTTCCGTATGGGAAGTTTGTTTGTTTTTTTTTTTTTTTTTTTTTTTTTTTTTTTTCTTCCAAGTTTCTCATGCGCACGCAGCCACCATGTTATTGGATGGTGTGAAAGGGAAAGTTCAATTAAATTTCACGAATTTGTATTTCGGTCTAGGAGTCCGTTATGAGGGTTTGGCCTAAAACTAACCTTATCCCCATAAATATTTTTCACTTTTTAAAATAGTCTCATTTCTACATTACCCAATTTCTAAATCATTTATTATTCACACTAATATTTTCTCATTTTTTAAAATGGTCCCACATTCATATTATATAATAATAATAATAAGGGAAAATAACACTTTTTTCCCCTGTATTGTTTACTAATAGCACATTTTTTTCCTGTGTTGTTTGTGTAACCACTTTATCCCCTTAATTATTTTAGAAGTGGCTATTTTCACCCCTCTCCGTTAAGTAAATGTTAGGGCTGTTAAATATGAGGGTGAAAATGACATTTCACTTATTATTATTATTATTATTATTATTATTATTATTATTATTATTATTATTATTATTATTATTATTATTATTATTATTATTATTATTATTATTATTATGTCCAAGCGTGACATTTATATTGCAAACCAAATTCATTAATAATAATAATAATAATAATAATAATAATAATAATAATAATAATTTCCACCCAACGCCCTAATATACTGCAGTACTTCATGCCTAAATTGCACAGTTATATTGAAAACCAAATTCATTACAAATAATAATATATAATAATAATAATAATAATAATAATAATAATAATAATAATAATAATAATAATAATAATAATAAGTGAAATGCCATTTTTATCCTCATATTTAACATCCCTAACACTTATTTAACGGAGATGAGGGAAAATAGCCACTTCAAAAATAATTGAGGGAGATAAAGTGGTTACATAAACAACACAGGGGAAAATGTGCTATTAGTAAATAACACAGGGAAAAAGTGCCATTTTCCATAATAATAATAATGATAATAATGATGATAAGAAGAAGAAGAAGAAGAAGAAGAAGAAGAAGAAGAAGAAGAAGAAGAAGAAGAAGAAGAAGAAGAATATAGACCAAAATGCAATTAAACTATTAAACTAAGAAAAGTTCTAATTAGACACTTCAACTCCTCTTTTTTATGCAATTAGGTCAATTAACATGTGACCTTTAACTAACCGGTAAAAAGATCTTTTTAATTCAAACAATTAATTAATTTTTAAATTAAAAAAATAAAAAATATTTTTTTTAATTCAAATAAATTAATTAAAAAACAAGAAAGAAAAAACCATATTAGATCAGTTCTCCTTTTGCGTTAGTTTTAGACATCTAAACCCATCATTCTTCATTCTTTCCATGAATTCATTATCACCCATCAAATTCCTCTCAAACGCCTCTAAACAAATCAAAGCGATTAGAAACATTGACCAATATATAAACATCATGATACACTGAAGCATACAGAGCACAACACTGCATCCTGCAACAATTTAGAAAAACCAATAATGTCTTGGCAAACCATTAATTAACCCAATTTAACCAATCCTCGTACATTTACTATGTCCAAGCGTGACACTTATTTTGCGACTTTGTCCAACGAAGTGTTGGACAACAAAACGCTAATCCTCAACATGTCTCTAACAACAAACCATGAATAAGCCCTTCACTTTCCCTGCAAACCATTTCATAATACACAACAATTTGTTGACAGAAAGTGAATAATTGGTTGCAATTAATTTTACCTGTTATTATTTTGAGCTTACCTGCAAATTAAATTGATCTAATTGCTCAATTTTAAAATTATGGACTAAATTGCATTAAAATGAGGAATTAAGGGGTCTAATTAAATTTTTTTTAGTTTAAGAGTTTAATTGCATTTTGGTCAATAGTTGAAGGGCGTATTTGACCCTTATCCCTAATAACAAAAGAAATTTTAAAAAATAAGAAAAAACAAAAACAAAAAAGTCAAATGCCTGGCAGTTTTTGTTGTCGTTGCTGCCAAGCAAGCTGTCTAACAAACCTGCAAATTCTGCAAGTTTGCTAGACAAATGGCATTAAAAAAAAAAAAGGATAACAATATTATGCATTCCATGTCAGCATCCATGTCATTTAGCGAATATGGTATTTGCTGGGTTGGGGACAACCTAAGGAAGTTGAATGTCTATCCTATAGACTTCGTGCTTCCTTAATGGCACGTTTGGTTCGCGGAATAGAGCTGGAATGGAATAGCATTCCCAGTAATAGGACTATTCCTTTGTTTGGTAAAATTTTGTATTCTCAAGAACAATGTTCACGGGAATGACCTATTCCCCTTGTAAGGGGAATAGAGATTCCTGGCAGCCCCTTGTATTAGGTTATTTTTGAGTTCTCAGGAATAGCCTAAAATTACTATTTCTTATTTTATCCCCCAAATAAATCTAAATCAGGTTACACTGCTCTGCCCTGTCGAAGCCATCGCCACTGCCGGACCTATCGAAGCCATCGCCGCAGCTTAGCCCTGCTCGCCGGGAAAACAGGGGTCGCCGGAGAGGGTCGTCGCTGCTGCTCATCGCCATTGCCCAACCGCCACCCGCCGCAACAGTTCACCGAAGAGGAGAAACTCGAGCTCGTCAGAGACCATCTCCACTAGTGCCTTCGTCTTGTTGTTCGTTGTGGTTGAGGGAGAGAAAGAGAAAGAGGCGAATGAGAGTGAGGCGTTAAGGAAGAAGATGGTGGATTTGTTGCACCAGATCTGCCGTTTGCTGTTTCTGCCAGTCTGTTGCTGTCGACGACAGAAGGAGCGGTGGTGGTGGCTGCTGTTAGAGAGGAAACAATGGTCGTCAGAGTTGGGGAAGAGGGGCTCGCCGTTCACTGTTGAATCCCTCAGCGAAATTTGTATATTATCCACATCATGAGCACAAAATTCCTCCTTACCTTCATCTCCTTGATTCTGTTCCGCATCTAACGAAAGCTTGTAGTTAAAAACGGGAAAAATGGAACTAATTTGACCATAATAAAAGCAGTCATCGGCAAAAGCTTCTGAATATAATATAACAACAACAAAAACAACAACAACAACAACAACAATAATAATAATAATAATAATAATAATAATAATAATAATAATAATAATAATAATAATATATTTTATACAAGGGCATTTATGTCTTTTAAACATATATTCCATTTTAATTCTTTAATCAACCAAACGTTGGAATACAATTCCTAAAGTATATTCTTTCAGCGAACCAAACAATAGAATACAATTCATATTCTATTCCGTACCTATTCCATTCCCTATGGAATAGCATTCCGATTCCCTCCAAATTTATTCTGTGAACCAAACAGCCGGTAAAGGTTTGCTCGCACAAGGCATCAAGGGAATGTGCCCAAATGGCCGAGTTAGTTGCAAAACAATGTTTGGGTAAGGAGTTCCGCGATTTCAAAAACAAAGAAACGCATGCAGAATTCCGTGGCCCATGTTTTTTTTTTTTTTTTCATTTTTTCCTCTTGTTCGTATTGCAATTTCCAGAAATGGATGTAGTTCTGAATTTTCAGTCAATATGAATATATGATGTATATTAAAGTTTTGTAATTTCAGGCCGGGAAATGAAATTG